GTTATCATTTCTATGTATGAAAATATATTTATGAGCTGCTCACTATTAAGAGTTTTACAGTTATGTTTTAAAAAATTTCAATGAACATTGATGTGGCACCAATATATTTAAATTCTCAGCTTCGTATTTAGAAAATCTTACACAAATTCATCAGGTCGTGTTCAAGAAAGCCTAAAGAGCAAATCATGAATAAGAAATAGCCACTTCTAGAAGTTGTTCCTTTTTTTAATGTCATTTGTTAAAGCCACAGTTGTGTTATGTGCTCCCTGTAAAAGGTCAATTAGCAGATTACTCAGGATATTTAAAGTTTTGTGTTACCTTCTAAATGTCAAGTGAAAGTTAGAAATGCTGTTACATTTGGGAGAATTTTGCCATAAAATCGTCCGTTTGATGAAAAAACAAATTTCTAGGTCACAGATAAGGGTTGACCACACCAGTTCCCAAACAGCGGCCCTCTCCCTGGGATGGCAAGCATTTGGACTTTTTAATACTTAACCTCTTTTTCACTGAGTGACTCCCAACAACTAGTATGGAGGGATGTTATTAGAGTAGTAGAAAAGACAGTTTCTCCTGATTTTTAATATGGGAAAGGCTTGAGCATGCACATAAACAATTGGGTAAGTTCTGGGAGAGGTTTGAGAGAATGAAGAAGAAAATAATCAATGGGACAAGGTGTCAGTCAGTCCTGGTGAAGCCCATAGGGGTTGAGATCAAAAGCCCTGGTAGAGGGATGATCTTTGAATACCTTTTCAGACCCTGCAGGAAAAGAGCTGAATATAGATGGCTTTATTCATGTCTGAGTTGAAAGCTGAGAAAATTCATGCATAGCCCCTTCAGTTTTCACTGTGAAGTAAGACAAAGCCATCTTCTAAGAGATCAGTTGGGGAATAAGGATTGGGGTTGGAGGAGAGTTGTGGGTTATATGACGTGTCTGTTGTGGGAGTGGGCGGTGTCACTGATGAGGGCCAGGTAAAGGTTTACTGGCAGCAGCAAGGATTCAGTGGCAGTTGAGTGCTGCTAATGCGTACTTGTATTGATACGCCTGGTGGTGTTGATTCCTCACCGGTACAGAGCATCCTGGAGGTAGAAAGATGATTGGAAAGACTCAAACATAAAAGTTTATAGGCTGACTGTATAGACAGACTTAAATACAAAGACTTTGAGGATCTGGTGAGAGTAATTAAAGGGAATGACTCTGAAAGTTTGACAGAGAAGGACACACAAGGGTGAAGTGAGTGGAGGATCAGGAAGAAAGGAATGCAGAAGGCTCTGCGGTAGGAGAGCAGTCGATCTGTAAGTGAGGAAGCCAGAGACCTTGAAGGAGAGGAGTTACGACTCCACATAGAGGGTCTGCGAAGGTGTTGTAGATCAGGGATTGGCAAACTTCCTATAAGGGGTCAGATAGTAAATATCTGTGGCTTTGTAGGCCATGTGGGTTATTTTAGAACTTCTCATCTCTGCCCTTGAAACATGAAGGCAGTCATAGACAGTAGGTAAATGAATGGGCATGGCCATGTTCCAGTAAAACTTTGTTTACAAAGAAAAATAGACCTGCTAATTGGTCTGGATTTGTCTCAGAGGCTGCAGTTTGCTAAACCCTGTTCTAGATAATGGCAATTTCCAGGATATAGAAAAGTAGAGGCGAAGACTGCTAGAAACCAAGGGGCTGAAACGCTTTAAGACCAATATAATTACTATAAACCATCGAGATCTAATAGAACTGGAGAACATCTCATGTCACCATCAACAGAAAACACATTTTTCTAAAGTGCACAGGGTACACTCCGGAAAGGTTATATATGCAAGGCCATAATACGAACCTCAATAAATTTGAAAAGGACTGAAATCATACCAAGTATGGTCTCTGTCACAGGGGAATGAAGTTAGGAAACACTAAAAGAAAAAAGGAATTGGGAAATTCACAAATATGTGAAAATTAAATAACATACGCCTTAATCCAAAGGCTCAAAAAGAAATCACAAGGGGAATTGGCAGTACTTTGAGAAGAATGAAAATGAGGACACAATATATAAAGTACAAATACGGGCTGCAGCTAAAGCACTGTTATCAGGGAAGCTTATAGCTATAAATTCTGTATTAAAAAGGAAGAAAGATACCAAATTGGAAACCTAATCTTCTACCTTAAGACAGTGGATGTATAAGAGGGGAAAAGGGCAGTAAACAGAAGGGTCTGAAATGGCCTAAAGAGATGGGATGCAATGAAAGCCCAGATAGAGCAGTTGGTCTTAGGATAAGAACAAGTTTCTCTTTGCATGTGGAGCGTAGAAAGTAGGATGGTTTATGTGTTGCTATAAGATTATAAAGTTCCCATCTTTACCACTTTCATCTCTTTTCTCTCTAAGGCTGGAGTTGAGGTTATTTGCAGAGAGCAGGAGAAAGGAAGCATTGGAGATTTGAAGAATAGTCCTTGTGTAGGGTGGTTGAAATAATCCTTGTCTGGAGTTGTCTAGAAAAAAACTATTAAGGATTGCAGGGTGTTGAACATTCTGAGTCTGGTAGTAGCGCATTAGAGAGGAACAGCTGTTGGGGGATTCTTTCAGCTGCATTTGGGCCCGTGGGTGAAGGCACAGAAAAGGCAGCTGTTTGCATTCATACATGGCTGGGATTTGGGCTAGATAGCGGTGATGGAAAAATAATGGTCAGCGACATCAGGATGGGCCATGATCAGCAAGTTTGGTAAGGACAGAACTAAAGAAAGGAAAAAGCTAGCAAATAGGGAGGCAGTAGGGGGACCAGTTAGCTGGAGGTCACGAGCAGGTCTAATATAAATCATACCCACGAGTGCAGGGAATCTGTTTTGTTCACAAATGTGTCCCAGTCCCTGAAATAGTGCCTGGCACATAGGACGTGTAAAGTATTTGTGTCTTTTGAATGAATGATCGTGGCAGAGCAGAGATTGTTCGCTAAACAAGCTGGAAGGATGGGAGATGTGGTCAGGGTTGGATGCTTGAATGAGTGATGGAGGAGGAAAAGCATTACCAATAACACTCCGTATGTCTGATGCATATCTATGGTAGATTCTCAGTAACTATTAGTTTTTATCACCTTTTATAGGAACTACTTACTTCTTTTAAAGAAGTAGTCATTTCTCTGAGAATGTGTGAGTTGACCTTTCCCAAATAGTACCATTTAAAGCCATTGAAACAGTCAAGGTTGTTGGAGGCCACTTCATATGGGCAAAATAAACAAACTACTTGTAAGAATTATTATCTTCCATTCCTAATTAGCCTAGTGTAGCTCTCATAGCCAGAAGCTCTGGGGACTACTAATGCTTTCTATTGCTTTGTTTATTTTGCTTATCACAGACTTGGGCAGTTGTATATTTACAATACTGTATCACCTCTCTAAAGTACACTGACCTTTCAAAAGCCTCTTTTTTGCTTTTAGTAGAGGGCTGAAGCCTCGTTTAAAAATAGGATGGGTGTTTACAAAGGAAAATTTTACAGAAGGAAGCTGAAATGATAATCATACAACTTTTAAACAATGCTGGTATTTTCCCATTTAGTAACATGAATCAAGGAAGTATTTTTATTTTGAGTCAGGATCCATATCTTTTCCAGATAACTTACAGTAGCTCTTACCCTGTTGGTCCCCGTACTCTGTCATGTAATTACTTGTACACAGTAGATATTTAGAAGTCTGTACTGACTGATCTTTACTGGTCAAATAAGCAGGCCTCTGAACTGCACTTCCCTCTTTCTCTTTGCCTGGTGAGTTTCTTCTATGCTCCAGTTCAAATACCACCTCTGAAATTAACCCCAGGTCTCACAGGCAAATGAGCATTCCCCTGTGCTTAGATTAGTTCGTATTTTCTCCTACTCTGCCATTATTTATTTGTACATCTGTCTCTCATCCTTGCCTTTTATCTACCCAGGAGCAAGGACTTTGTCTTATTTATTTGAGTATCTCCAGTGCCTTGCATGGCCTGCCATGGACGAGGTGCTCCAGAGTTGTCTGGCAAATGAATGTGACAGCAAGAAAACTCATTTTACAAATACATGGGCTTAGGCTGGGAAACCCTGCCCTCTAACGGATTTTCCTGTTTAGAAATTTTTGCAGTTAGCATACTGCAAGAGATTAGTTGATTAAAGCCCCATGATCCAGTCAGTAGATATAATTAACCTAGAGAAAAGTTAGCCTTTTTTCCTATACTAACTTCTTTTAAATTAAGCATTACTGCACATAACTGATATTTAATATATAATTGTTAAAAGTACAGGTCCACCAACACGTTAGCAGTGGCCCTGACCAGTGTGGCTCAGGTGGCTGAGCATCACCCCACGTAGCGGAAGGCCGCCCCCGGTTCAGTTCCCAGTCAGGGCGCATGCCTGCGCTGTGGCCTGGTCTCCAGTTGGGATGCACAGGAGAGGCAGCCGATCAGCGTTTCTCTCCTTCTTGTCCTCTCACCCTTCCTGTCTCTCTAAAAATAAATAAATCAATCCTGTTGTAGTTCTTTTAAAGATGTTAACAGTGGCTATTATTTGGATGGTAGTATTTTTGTTTTTTAATTTTCCTTTAGATATGATTTGTTTCGCTCTTTGAATTTTTCTGCTTCCGAATATATATGTAGGAGAATTATATTTTCCATTTTTAAAAGATGTGGTACATGATAAAAAACAAGAGAAAGAAATGTTTTGGTATAATTTGGAACCAGTTAACTGGGCCAAGATGGGCCAGTCCTTGCTTGGGTAACAAATCTCAGTGGTTTAGAAAAGCATAGTTTGTTTGCTGCAGGTTGAATAGGGTTCTCCATCCAGTGACTGCAACCCAAGCCTCTTCTATCTCAAAGTGGGTTCCAGAGGTGCTGCAGCAGGAGAGGGGGAGACAGGAGAGGCCTGCCAGCCCTCACATGCCTTATCACATGTCACTGTGCCTTGGGCAAAACCAGCCTCATGGACCCACGCTTGCTGCAGAGTGGAAAATGCAGGGGAGCACCAATTGTCGCTGCTAACACAACTGTAACTCTTCCCATTTTACAGTTACTGCAATGAATGTATGTTGGATCCAGACTGCGGTTTCTGCTACAAGGTGAACAAGTCAACCATCATCGACTCCTCCTGTGTTCCCGTTAATAAGGCATCGACAAATGAGGCAGCCTGGGGCAGGTATGTCACTCATTACGTACTGTAAGAATATATAGTAGAATTTCAGAAGGAGACCTATTTTTAAACTTACAGAGTGGCTACAAAAATGTCGACAACTGCGTTTCTTTTGAACTGGTCTTCTTTTTAAACGACCTTTTAAACTTTGCAGCATATACTGACGAGAGTGGATATAAAGCATTGCAACAGTATGTTTCACAGATTTAGAGAAGAAAGCACTCAAATGTAGACTCCTGGGCATCCAGATTCCAGGTCTGCCTCTGCCCTAAGCTGTAGGAGTTTGAATCTTGAGGCAGGGGTTCCTGTTTTTTGGCAAGGCAAGTTTTTCCCCATTGCATATTGTTTTATTACACTGGTAATTTTCAGACTTCCAAACTTAACTGAAAGAAAATTGTCAAGTCAAAATAAATTAATGTCACTTTAAATTCTTTCATGGAACTATTATTTTCTTAGAGTGCTTTCCTGGCGTTTAATGAAATTTAGCAAAATAAGAATAAAAGTTGGTAATCCTGGCATATAACCAGTCTGAGAAGCTAGAAACCTTTCTCTTTTGGACAGATCACATTGGTTTGTAGTAGGCAAATAAATGAAGTACTTGTATAAAACAAATATTCCCCACATTTATGAACTAATGTGTTTATGTGGTCACAGGAAATATGTAAATATTATTCGACATGGCTTTAACCTCTTTTGTGTTTTAAATTCCCATAAAGAGAATAATATGTTCTCATCTGTCTGCTGCATAGTACTGATGAAAGTAATGAAATCTGTAATAAAGTACTTATACCTCTTAGGAGCTATAAAGTACAATGTGCCATTATTAATCATTATACTCTTATCATTAATCATTTTACTAGGAAATTACTCCAAAGAAGTGGAAGTAAATTATATGGTAGTTGAGTGAAAATCCAGACCACATTTTAAATATGCTAATTACAAAAAAAAAATCTGTAAAAAAAATTCAATTACTATTTAAAATTAAAGCTTTAAAAGAGCTTCTTTTAGAAACACCCAGTGTGTAATTTTCATTAGCCAAGCTTCATTAGGGAGTTAATTGACTAAATATTTCTGGAAGTGATAGTTTATAATTTTAACCCTTATGATTCCTTTTTCAATACCAAAAAAAAATAAAAAAGAAAAGAAAAGAAAACCCTGAAAGGTAGTAGTCTAGAATTATGGACATACTATGAAATCTGTGTCTGTAGTATCCTGTATTTCACAGAATTAACTTCTAAACTTACTATAAATGTTTACCAATGGAAAGAGAACACTAAAGTTAGACATTTCTCTTACTCTCAAAAGGTCTAGAGGCTTTAAATAGGAGCTCTGTTATTAATTACTTTTTGCAAATAACAAAGAATTGAATATATAACTCTTTAATAAAAATGTATATTCTTTTATTACAGCATATTCTTACATTTTATTTATATTTTTGTACTATTATTCCTTGATTGAACACACTACTAGAGAAGAGCAAGGCACACATAACAATTGGAAGAATACAAAGAACTAAATACAATATATAAAGACATCTTATGTTTGTAGAATATTCTTGGGAAAAGAAGTTTTCTTATTCTTTTCTGTGCTGAGCAACATTGGTTGCCTCAATCTGTGCTTAGGAAAAAAAGCAAAAAAGGCAGGATGTGTTCACCATGAAAACTTTCTATAATAGAATATTGCAGTTAAATAACATTCACTGTATTTTTGTTTATTAGTTGGCTGATAGGTTTTATACAAGTACCTAGACTCGTATTCTCAGGGCAAAATCTACCATTACCTTGGATTTACATCTGAAATATGCAGGTCATAGATATTTCGGGGCAACATCTGTGCCCCGAATTCGTAGCCACAGATCCTGACCTCTACCTGTAGCTGTTTCCTGAAAAGACACCAGATGGAATAGTAATACCATTCATGATGGAGATAGTATGATGATTTTGATAAACTGTGAATTGTCTCAACATAACAAAAACCACTTGCCCATGTAATCAATTATGTCTTTGTTTTTACATTTCAGTAAAATTTAAAAAAATAATTTAGCTCTCCAAAGAAAGTATGTAAATGGTCAACTAGTAACTTGAAAACTGCTCCATATTACTAATCATTAGGGAAATGCAAATTAAAACCACATTGAGATACCATCTCATATCCAACAGGATGGCAGCTCTCAAAATATAAAATAAAAACTGTGGAGGGTATAGACAAATTAGAAAGTCTGTGCACTGTCGGTGGGAATGTAAATGGTGCGGCCACTATAGAAAACAGGATGTCGGTTTCCCAGAATTTTAAAATAGAATTACGTATCATCTGACAATTCCATTTCTGGGCATATATCCAAAAGATTTGAAAACAAGGTTTTTTAGAAACATTTGAGTACCCATGTTCACAGCAACACTATTCCTAACAACCAAAAGATAGGAGCAACCCAGGTGTTATGTTATGGGTGAATGGACAAAAAAAATAGGATCTATACATACATTGATATAGTAATCAGACTTAAGCAAATTCTGGCACATACTACATCATGGATGAACCTTGAAGATACAATGATAAATAAAATGAGCCTGTCACAAAAATAACAAATATCCTATGACTCCACTAATGTGGAGTCGAGTAGTCTAATTTATAGAGACAGAAGAATAGTGCTGGTGGAAGCAGGGGAGTAGGGACTACAGTAGCTGTTTAATTGGCATGAAGTGTGTTTTGCAGAATGAAAGGAGTTTCGGAGATTGCTTGCACAACATTGGGAATCTACTTTACACTATTGAACTGTACAATTAAAAATGTTAAATGGTTTAAGATGGTAAGTTTTTTGTTATAGGTATTTCACCACAACTAAAAATAAAACAGGGAAACTCATTTAAAAATCATTTAGCATTCTTCTTTAGCATCACTTACTATGGTAAGTGACGGAAGGTCTTCTCCTCCCGCCCATCACCCTCTGTACTTCCCACATGCATCCCCCACACATGCAAATACTAGTTTTGAAATTTAAAAAAAAAAACCATCAAATTAATTAACAGGTTAAGAAGAAATCATAATGGAAAACAGAACATTAAGATTAATAACTGAAAAGATTCACAAGAAGTTAGACCTAGAGCTAAGCCTGTAGAGAAAGCAGAGGATGGAAATTAAAAGATGAGAAAAAATAATGCAAAGCAAAGAAATACTAGAGAGAATCAAAAAAACAAAAGTTGATTCTTAGAGAAGACCCATATAATGGAGAAATTTTTGACATTACTCTGTAAGAAAAGAGAGAAGGCACGAATAAACAATATTTAGAATGGAAGAAAAGCATGTAAGGACACTTAGTAAATACTTTAAAAATCATAAGAGAATACTACTGATAATGTGCAATGCATTTGAAAACAGATAAAATGGACCATTTTCTAGAAAAAAAATAGAACTTTGCAAAACCAACTCAACACCTCCATGAAATACAATTTTTTAAAATTTAAATTATACTTTATTGCTTATGCTATTACAGTTGTGCCAATTTCTGCCCTTGCCCCGCTCCACCCAGACCCCCCCATTTCCTCAGGCAATCCCTACACCATTTTCCAGGTCCATGTCCTGCACATATATTCTTTGGCTACTATATGCCCTGTGCTGTTCTTTATATCCCCGTGACTATTCTGTAACTCCCAATTTGTACTTCTTAATCCCTTCACCTTTTTCACCCATCCCTCCCAACCTACCTCCCATCTAGCAACCATCAAAAAGTTCTCTATCTATGATTCTGTTTCTTTTCTGCTTGTTTATTTACTTTGTTTTTTTAGATTCAATTATTGATAGATATGTATTTATTATTTTATTGTTCCTACTTTTTATCTTCTTATAGAAGATCCTTTAAACATTTCATATAATACTGGTGTGATGGTGATGAACTCTTTTAGCTTTTTCTTGTCTGAGAAGCTCTTTATCTGTCCTTCAATTCTACATGATAGCTTTGCTTGGTTGAGTAATCTTGATTGTAGGTCCTTGCCTTTCTTCATCACTCTACATATTGCCATTCCCTTCTAGCCTGCAAAGTTTTTGAGAAATCAGCTGGCAGTCTTGTGGGAACCCTTGTACATAACTAACTGCTTTTCTCTTCCTGCTTTTAAGATTCTCTCTTTGTCTTGAACCTTTTGCATTTTAATTACAACGTGTCTTAGTGCGGGCCTCTTTAGGTTCATCTTGTTTGAGACTCTGTGCATCCTAACTTCACCACGTACATTTCCTTCACCAAGTCAGGGAAGTTTTCTGTCATTATTTTTTCAAAAGGTTTTTAATTTCTTGTTCTTTCTTTTCTCCTTCTGGCACCCCCGTGATGCAAATGTTGGTATGCTTAAAGTTGCCCCAAAGGCTGCTTACACTATCCTCATTTTGGGGGATTCTTTTTTCTTCTTCCTGTTCTGATTGGTTGTTTTTTATATCCTTATATTCCAAATCACTGATCTGATTCTTGGCTTTCCCCACCCACCTGTTGATTCCCTATAAATTGTTCTTCATTTCAGTTAGTGTACCCTCCGTTTCTGACTGGTTCATTTCTGTGGTTTCCATGTCCTTTTTTATGCTGTTGAAGTTCTCTCTGAATTCATCTGCTCCTCCCCTAAGTTCATTTCATATCCTTATAACTAGTGTTTTGACTCTACATCTAGTAGATTGCTTGTCTCCATTTTGTTTAGCTCTTTTCCTTGAGTTTTGTTCTTCTTTCATTTGAGACATGTTTCTTTGTCTCCTCATTTTGGCAGCCTCCATGTGTTTGTTTCTATATATTAGGTAGAGCTGCTATGCCACTAAGGTTTGGTAGTGTGGCCTAATGTAGTAGGTGTCTTGTAGGGTCCAGTGGTACAACCTTGCCTTTCACCCAAGGTAGGTACTCAAGATGTGCCCACTGTGTAGGCTGTGAACACCCTCCTCTTGTAGTTGAGACTCAGTTGTTGTTGGCAGGTCAGTGGGAGGGATTTACCCAGTTCAGTCAGATGCAAGGACTGGCTGTGACTACTGACCACCAACCT